AAATTCTAAATGAAGTTCGTTTGAACTCTAGCTAACTTTGAGGTTTTCCAAAGGGTCCCTGGAACACCTAAAAGTATTTTTCTCTCCATCTCAGGGAGAGGAATAAATGAATTAGGCTTATTTGGTATGTTATATTACATTAAGTGTTGTCAAATGAGTGGTGATAAAACTTCTTAGGTTGTATTGTATGGGTAAATGTTATTAATATAGATATTCTAGAAATTAATATGGCACTCCTAAACTTCTGGTATGTCCTGGTAAGTGATATCAGTCATAATTCTAGTTATTATCTTAAATTGTTGTATGTCACAGAGGTACCCCAGTTTATTTGTCAGCTGCATTGTAATCAGGTCTTTAACCTTGACATTTCAATGGAAGTTTTTTGTCATTTATAGACAGTTATTTTACTCCGGTGTTTTTGCAAACATGCTTCATCTTCAAGAAGATTCATAGAAAGGACTTTTTGACAAGTACAGGTTTCTGATAACCTTCAGATCATACTGCTGAACTGGGTAAGAAATTAAAGAATTCTACTGGAAAACCTGATGGCTTCATAAAACTGTTAACAGAAGAGTAAGATCAAGGAAGTCACATAGGACTGAGTGAACTTATGAGTATGGTTATAATTTTTGGTTTTTATCTGAAATATTACTGGTTTCTAATCTGTGTTTTCCAGATATAAGGAAGCCTTTAAATTACACTTCTGTTGGTAGATTTGAAACTTTTACCTTTTCTCTCTACCTGATCCCTTCAGAATTTGGAAACTTAGGTTTCCAGCAGCTTTATCTGGTAAATAAGGAAGACCACCTCCTAATGGATGCAGGAATCTCAGGAAATTTGGGGGGATCTCAAGAAGAGAGAAATTTGCCCAAATCTCTATCACCCAAATCTATAGATCTCACAGACAGAATGAATCTATGACACACCCTTGGTGTGGCTTTGTTGGCCTTGAGAACTTTCTTAAAAAGTTCAATCTGAGATTCCTTGTGAAAAATGTCTTATCTGGGTAGTAGTTATGAAGGTGTTTGTGATAACTCATTGAACTGTACATTTTAAAAAATAAACTTATAAAGAAGTCTTAGATTTACAGAAAAGTTGCAAAGACAATTCCTATAAACCCCACACCTAGTTTCCCCTATTGTCAAAATCTTAACATTGGTATATTTATCACAATTACTAAACAATATTGATACGTTACTATTAACAAGTCCATACTTTATTCAGATTTATTTTTTACAAATATTGAGTATAGTTCCCTGTGCTATACAGTAGGTCCTTGGTTACCTATTTTATATACAGTCGTGTGTATCTGCTAATCCAAAACTCCTAATTTATCCCCATCCCCACTCCTTTCCCCTTTGGTAACTGTAAGTTTGTGTTCTATGTCTGTGAGGCTATTTCTGTTATGTAAATAAGTTCATTTGTATCGTATTTTAGATTCCACATGTAAGTGATATCATACGGTACTTGTCTTCCTCTGTCTGACTTGTTTTCCTCTGTCTTACTCCACTTAGTATGATAATCACTAGGTCCATCCATGTTGCTGAAAATGACATTCTTTCTTTCTTTTATGGCTGAGTAATATTCCATTGTATATATACACACCACATCTTTATCCATTCATCTGTTGATGGAAATTAAGTTGCTTCCATCTCTTGGCTATTGTAGAGTGCTGCAATGAATATTGGGGTGCATGTGTCTTCGAATTAGAGTTTTCTCCAGATATATGCCCAGGAATGGGATTGCAGGATTATTTGGTACCTCTGTTTTTAGTTTTTTTAAGGAACCTCCATACAGCTTTCCATAGTGGCTGTACTAACTTATATTCCCACCAGCAGTGTAGGAGGGTTCCCTTTTCTCCACACCCTCTCCAGCATTTTTCTGTTTTTTTCCCTTGCGGTACGCGGGCCTCTCACTGCCGTGGCCTCTCCCGTCGTGGAGCACAGGCTCCGGACGCGCAGGCTCAGCAGCCATGGCCCACGGGCCCAACCGCTCCGCGGCGTGTGGGATCTTCCCGGACCAGGGCACGAACCCGTGTCCCCTGCATCGGCAGGCGGACTCCCAACCACTTGCGCCACGAGGGAAGCCCTCCAGCATTTATTGTTTGTACTTTTTGATGATGGCCACAGACCAGTGGGTGAGGCTTATCTAGCGGCTTGTACAGGCTTCCTGGTGGGAGGGGCCGGTGCCTGCCCACTGGTGGCTAAAGCTGGGTGTTGTTCCTCTGGTGAGCTGGGACCTGTCTCCTGGGGAGGTGTCTGCAGGAGGCTGTGCGCTCTTTAGTCTTTAGGCAGCCTGGGGCTGTGACTCCACCCAGTTAGTTTGGCCTGAGGCTCCCAGCACTGGAGCCTGCAGGCCGTTGTGCGGGGTCGGGTCTTGTTGCTAGTGAGTCAATGTGGCAGCCACCAAGTGCGTCCCCAAGGTTGGAGTTTCCCCCATATGTCTGCCAGCAGTGTCTATGTCCCCAGCATGAGCTGCAGCCCCCCCCACCCAACCCCGGGAGACTCTCCGAGACCAGCAGGTAGGTGTGGCCCAGGCTCGTATCAAATTACTGCTTTCACCCTGTCTCCCGGTGTGCCTGAGATTTTGTTTGCACCCTTTAAGCTTGAAGCCTCTATTTCCCCCAGTCCCATGGGGCTCCTACAGTTAAGCCCTGCTGGCCTTCAAAGCCACCTGCTCTGGAGGCTTGTCTTGACGTGGGGCTCAAAACTGCCACGTCTGTGGGAAAACCTTGCTATATTATTCTTCTCCATTTTGTACGTCGCCCACCCACGGGGTATGGGGTTTGATTGTACTGAGTCTGCCCCTCCTACCCAACTTGTTGTGGTTCCTTCTTTATGTCTTTAGTTTTAGATCTTTTCTGGTAGGTTCCAGTTTTTTTCATTGATGGTTTCTTCATTGATGGCCAACAGGCACATGAAAAGATGCTCAACACTGCTGATTATCAGAGAAATGCAAATCAAAACTACAATGAGATATTACCTCACCGTTCAGAATGGCCATCATCAAAACATTTACAAATAATAAATGCTGGAGAGGGTGTGGAGAAAAGGGAACCCTCCTACACTGTAGGTGGGAATGTAAATTGGTGTGGCCACTGTGAACAGTGTGGAGCATCCTTAAAAAACTGAAAGTAGAGTTACCACATGATCCAGCAGTCGCATGCCTGGGCATATATCCAGAAAAGACAAAAACTCTAATTCAAAAAGATGCATGCACCCTAGTGTTCATTGCAGTACTACTTACAATAGCCAAGACATGGAAGCAACCTAAATGTCCATCAACAGATGAATGGATAAAGATGTGGTACATCTCAGCCATAAAAAAAAGAATGAAATGAAATAATGCCATTTGCAGCAACATGGATGGACCTTGAGATTATCATACTAAGTGAAGTAAGTCAGACAATGACAAATATCATTTATATGTGTAATCTAAAAAAATGATACAAATTAACAAATGTTACAAAACAGAAACAGACTTACATGGCATACAAATTTATAGTTACCAAAGGGGAAAGGTGGGGGGGATAAAGTAGAAATTTGGGATTAACAGATACATATTCCTATATATAAAATAAACAACAAGGACCTAATGTATAGCACAGGGAACTATATTCAATATCTTATAATAGTCTATAATGGAAAAGAACCTGAAAAAGAATATATGACTGAATATATATATATGTATATATATGCATAAACTGAATCACTTTGCTATATACCTGAAACATTGTAAATCAACTGTACTTAAGTAAAATAAATAAAATGGAAAAAAAAGGTTTAAAAAAATGTAATGAGAAGTGGTCAACATGTAGATTATTTTAGAATTTTTTTTCATATTGCAGAACCAGCGATACTTCTGTGTGGCAAAAATAAATAGAAATTATATTTTAGAAACAGACTTCTAATCAAAATAAAATTATAAAAAAATAAAGTTGGGAGGCCAGAAGGGGGAGCTCTCTGCCCTATGAAGATAGCAGAGCACAAGAGGAAGCTGACATTTTCTTGCCTGGCTAGAGCTCAGCCAATGAGAGACTGTCACAACTCAGCCAATGATAAGTGCGGGACTCTTTGTTTACTATTGCCCTCTCAACTTCCTCTTCCTCTCTGTAAAAGAGTTCCCTCAATTTTTTGCTGAGGACTTGAACGTGGTCAACTTGGTTACAGACCCTGAATTGTAATTCTTTGCTAATCTCGAATAAACCCATTTTTGATGGAGAAATAACTGGCAGTCTATTTGTTTTATGTCAACAGCTGCTATAAATATCTGTGTGCAGGTTTTTGTGTGGACATAGTTTTCAATGATTATTTTTCATAGAGAGCATGTACTATTTTTATAACCACAAACTGTAATTTAAAATGAAAATCAGTACATTCAACTGAATAAAATATTGAAAAGAACTTTAATTGATTCATCATAAAGGCATTGAGCAAAATAATGTTAATAAAATTTTTAAAATAAAATATTTAAGACAATTTTTAAACACAGCAGTGCAGAAAATAGCATTAAAATGTTTGTAAAATTACACACATTTTAACACTTCCACAGTCTTTGTGGAACCCAGGCTTTTAAATTTTTGAACCACTAAAGGCAAATAAAAGAATGTAGAGGAACAGATTTTACATAGAGTTACAACCTGGACACTACTTCCCTAGAGTGTTATTGCCAGAGAGAAGTTATGACATGAGTTTTGTAGAATTAAAAAAACACCTGAATAATTCTTTGCTTTTCAAAGTAAGTATCCAAGAATTATACCAGAAAAATGTGTGCATATTTAGGTGTATTTACATAATGTCATCATGTTCTGTGGCCCATCAGCCTCGATATATTTATTTACTAACCTTGGTTCTGTTAGTATACATTTAAAATGTAATCATATGAATCATCTAATCCAACTGGGTATCCATTTTGTTAGACATCAATCACCAGCAGTAAGTTCACTAAAGAAAAGTAACACAATTAGCATTTTCAAACACCAAAAATTAATGAAATGACAATAGTGCAATTACTAAGTTTAATTAAATCTGATGACAAGTGTGTTTTGATTAATGATTTTTAAAAAGATAAAAATATTAAGCTCTAGAATTCTATACAAAAGGATATGGAAATCTTACTCTTCACCATCTTTCCCTGGTACAAATTAGAAACTCAAAATACTTTAAATATACTCAAACTGAGTTGCTACAGCCACGTGCCTATAAAGTGAGAATTTTGTGTACGAATTCAGGAATTACCTTTAAAAAAATGGGGATGGAAATTATTTGCCTGTCTTTAAATTCTCCTCTTTGCTTCTGATCAGGCACGAGAAAATTCTGGCCCCAAGGTGTGCTTTATAAATCATAAGTGGTCACATTTCTGTGGAAAACCACCTTGCTTTGTCAATGTTCTTACATAGAAGGAAAGTATTTTCCAGCTATAGCTACCAAGCTTCATAACTAAGGATTCAGAGTGCTAGTCAGTATACATCATCCAAAGATTTTTCCTTTCTTTGCATCCCTAGATAATTTTCAACGAATTTACCCCTGACTTTTCAATTCATAAGGAACAAAACTGAGGCAGGTTTCTGTATATGTGTGTGTGTCTTAGTATTTTTATTTTGATATTTGTTAAATAGTTTGTATTTTATGATAATGGGCTGTCTGAACTCATCCATATAGTAACTGTTCTATAGTTGAAATTGGCTTTAAGTATTAAAATTGTATACAAGGAAATTAGGGGTGTTGCAGTACTTGGTTGCAAATAACTTGCCATCTGGTGTTGGGTCAGAAAATGCTATTTCATTCGTGCTGAGAAAACAGCCAAACATGAAGCAATTCCTAAAAAAGAGAAAAAAGATAATTTAACAATGGAAACAACTTAAAATTTTGATTAAACATAAGCACAATTATATCAATATTTTAAAGTAATCCAATTAAAAAATTTCAATCTCTTTACATATTCTTGATTAAAACCAACATTATTTTATTAAGTGGTAAAATGACTCAATGCCTTGTATTTTACAGGTGGAAGTCTAATATCATTTCACAGATGAGAAAACTAAGGCCCAGAAAAAGTTCTGCCAAGAGGCAAAGGGAGCCACACAAACCATCTGGTTGACTCTAGGTGATCCGTGATAGTAAGCAACTAATATGAGACAATATTGCTAGTTAAAAGCCACAGGTAGCTATAACAACAAAAAATAATTATTTTGGGCTTCCCTGGTGGCGCAGTGGTTGAGAGTCCGCCTGTCGATGCAGGGGACACGGGTTCGTGCCCCGGTCCGGGAGGATCCCACATGCTGCGGAGCGGCTGGGCCCGTGAGCCATGGCCGCTGGGCCTGCACGTCCGGAGCCTGTGCTCCGCAACGGGAGAGACCACAACAGTGAGAGGCCCGTGTACCGCAAAAAAAAAAAATATATATATATATTTTAACCAATAACTATATTCTTTTGAACTACATCACACACTCAGAGCTTTAAGAAGGCAAAAACTAATCTGCATTTTGACTACAACGCTCCTTGATCCAGCTCAACTAGGATTAAAAGCAATAAAATGAAATAGCTGAAACAATTCAACAAAACTGAGGGATAGTCTATGAAATAACTGGCCTGTAGTCTTCAAATTCTTCAATGTCCTGAAAGACAAAGAAAGGCTAAGAAACTGTGTGAAGACTAAAGAGATATTTTGACTAAATGCAATATGTAATCCTGAACAGGAAAAAAAAATGCTATGAAGGGCATTTGAGACAAATGACAAAACTGAAATATCGACTATACATTAGATAGTATAGCATTATATTGGGATATTAAATACCCCAAATTTGATATCTGATCTGTCCTTATATAAGAGAATATCCTTGTTATTAAGAAATACATACCAGGTTATATACTGGTATTCTCCATACCAAATTTATGTATCTCAACATAAAATATAGAAAATAGAGGTATTTCACAATTAACTATGAAATAAAATCTTTACAGACACCAACTTCTCTCACTGCTCCCCTTTGTAAGGTATGGTGGGGGCCTAGGATTGAGGCCTAGGACTGCAGCCCTGTGGTGGTCTTGGTGTTCTTTCTTAAAAAGTGTATGGAACCCAAAGGCTAGAATAGTGCTACTCAAAGTGTGGTCCTTGGTTTTGTCAAAGTGGAGTCATTGGTTTGTAATCTGTTATCTTAAAGATAGAGGTTGAGAGAGTAAGTGTTGTGACACTCATCTATCTAACCTAGATTAGGTAATTAACAGGCAAGAAAGAAGCAAACTCATTTGTCCCATTATCAACTAAGTACCAATATACAGTGTTAGTACAAAGTGTGCATACTGTAGTTTTAAAAGGGAGAATTCATATACCAAAGACTCACCATTTAGAAATACACACAGTTCAGTGGTTTTAGTATATTCAAAAATTGCACAAAACTCAAGAACATTTCATCACCCAAAGAAACCCTGTAGCCATTAGCAGTCACCCTCCATTCACCCTTCCCTCAGTCTCTGGGAACAGCTAGTCTACTTTCTATCTATGGATTTGCCTCTTCTGGATGTTTTCTATAAACAGAATCATATAATAACATGGGGTATTTTGTGAATGGCTTTTTTTAGTTAGCATAATATTTTCAAGGTTCATCCATGTTGTAGCACGTATCAGAACTTCATTCCTTTTTGTGGCTGAATATCCTATTGTAGTGTTGTATGGATGTACCACATTGTGTTTATCCATTAATCATGAATTTGGTTGTTTACAATTTTTTTTAGCTATTATGAATAATGCTGCTATGAACCTTCATGTATAAGTTTTTGCGTGGACAGATGCTTCCATTTCTCTTGAGTATACTTGTAGGAGCAGAATTGCTGGGTCATATGGTAACAGTTTAATTTCTTGACAAACTGCCAGACTAGATTCCACAGCAGCTGTAGCATCTTACATTCCTCCCAGCAGCATACAAGGATTACAGTTTCCTCCACATCCTCACCAACAGTTGTTATTCTCCCTTTGTTTTCGTTTAGTCATCCAAGTGGCTGTGAAGTGGTATCTCATGATGGTTTTGATTTGTGATTTCCTTTATAGCTAAGGATGTTGAGCATAGCTTCACATGCTTATCAGCCATTTGTATTTCTGCTTTGGAAGAATATAGAATACATTGAAATCCTTTGCCTATTTTTAAATTGGGTTGTCTTTTTGCATGTTGTAAGAGTTCTTTTATATATGTTGGATATACTAGACTCTTATTAGATAAATGATTTGCAAATATTTTCTCATTCTGTGGGCTGTCTTGCTAATTTACTTTTACATTTAGTTACACTTGTGAGTTACAGTAAGTCTTTATTAATTACCTAGTCACACATGGTCAATAAACATGTACAATTTCTAAAATTCTTTTTATAAAAAATATTTATATGTACAATTTCTAAAATTCTTTTTTAAAAAATATTTATTTATTTATTTAGGCTGCATTGGGTCTTAGTTGCAGCATGTGGGCTCTTTGTTGAGGTGCGTGGGTTTTCTCTCTCTAGTTGCGGCGTTCGGGTTTTCTCTCTAGTTGTGGCGCATGGGCTCCAGAGTGCATGGGCTCTGTAGTTTGCAGCACGCGGGCTCTCTAGTTGAGGCGCATGAGCTCAATAGTTGTGGCGCACAGGCTTAGTTGCCCCGTGGCATGTGGGATCTTAGTTCCCTGACCAGGGATCAAACCCACGTCCCCTGCATTGGAAAGCAGATTCTTTACCACTGGACCACCAGGGAAGTCCCCAAAATTCTTTTTTTTAAACTTCTATTTTGTTTTTATAGATTTATTTAAATGTAATTTTACATCTGTTGAATCTACTAAAAATTTGGGCTTCCATTTTTCCATTTGTTTGTTTCCTAGCAATTTATCTTTACTTTATTAATGTGTTGGTCTGTAACAAAATCCAGTCTTTGACCACAGGTAGTTTGAAAAGCACTGGGCTAGAATGTTTCAGACTTGGAATGTTGTGCCCGCAATTGAGTATATCTAGTTCTTTTTTTTTTTTTTTCAGTGCCAGCATTGCCTTAGCCTGACTTTGGTAGTATTTATATAGAAGTGTCTTACCAACATCATTCCCTTTGGCTCATGAGCCGGGAAAGGTTCTTGGAAAGCTAATCTGGGTCTAATCCATTTTATTTTATTTCTTACCTTAGAGTATCTACCAGTCGTCTTGCAATGCGCTTTCTTCTCTTCAATCTGAAGACCCAAATTCTACTTATCCCACAGATTGCAGGCTCTGGTACATCTGAACATTGCCAAGCCCTATGACATTCTTTAGAGCTTGGGGATTCTGGACCAGTTGGTTCAGACAGGACACGGAAGGCCTGCAATGATACACAGAAGCATCTAGAGCTAACAATACAGCTGAGTTCACATTTCTTTTTAAAAACCATTCTTTAAACAAAATTTAAGTACCTAAAATTAATCTTACCCTACCTTCACAAAAATGTTAAAATTCTTTGCTATTTCTTGAATTCTTGCCCATTTATAGTCACACAACGCTTAAAAATTACTAGTGGTGTTGAGATATCCCCACATCCTAGTGTATTATACCATTGTGAAACTGTCTTGTGTTGATTTAAAAAAATTATAAAAGACTCTTACTTCTAATAAAGTACATAAACTTCTCCCATTCTCTCCATCCTAAAATGTACATTTGATATTATAAAAAACTAATAACACTAAAGAAGGTTTTTGCATATAAACTATGAAATTTGGTATTTAAATTTTTCTTTAAACTTCTTATTTTGAATATAGATTCAGAGGAAGTTGACAAATAGTACAAAGAGGACATGTATCCTTCACCCAATTTCCCCCAACAGTTACATCTTCCATAACTATAGTACCACACCAAAAGCAAGAAATTAACATGGGTACAATGTGCGTGTATAGTTCCATGACAATTCATCATACCTGAATACTGATTTAACCAACACCACAATCAAAATACAGAGCTACTGCATCATCACGAAGCTCTTCCTCTTGCTACCTCTTTATAATCACACCCATTTCCCTGCCCCCCACCATCCCTAAACCCTGGCAACCACAATCTGTTCTCTATCTCTAAAATTCTGACATTCTGAGGATATCATACAAATGGACTCATACAGAATGTGACCCTTTGAGAATGGCTTTTTTTATTTTTTTATACAGCAGGTTCTTATTATTTATCTATTTTATACATATTAGTGTATATATGTCAGTCCCAATCTCCCAATTCATCCCACCCACCACTTTCCCTGCTTGGTGTCCATACGTTTGTTCTCTACGTCTGAGTCTCTGTTTCTGCAGAATGGCTCTTTTTCACTCAGCACAATGCCCTTGATACCCGTCCAAGTTGTTGCATATATCAAGTCTGTTCCTTTTTATTGCTAAGTAATATTCCATTGTATGGATGTACCAGTTTGTTTAATCACTCACCTACTGAAGGACACTTTGGTTGTTTCCAGGTTTTGGCTATTACAAATAAAGCTGCTGTAAACATTCAGGTGTGGGTTTTTGTGTAGACATAAGTTTTCATTTCCGGGATAAATGCCCAGGAGTATGATTGCTGGGTCATATGGTAAATGTATGATTAGTTTTTTAAGAAACTGCCAAACTTTTTCCAGAGGGGCTGTAACATTTTACGTTCCCTCCAACAGTGTATGAGAAATCTAGTTTCCCTGCATCCACACCAGCATTTGCTATTGTCACTATTTTCTATTGTAGCTGTTTTGATAGGTGTATATTAAGTTTTAACCCCCACTGAGAAAACTTTGCTTCTGAAACGAGAATGAATAGAAGAGTATATGTATGAGTTAGTTGGCTATACAGATCTTCCTCAACTTATGATGGGATTACGTCCCAGTAAATGTAGATTGTGGGCTTCCCTGCTAGTGCAGTGGTTAAGAATCCGCCTGCCAATGCAGGGGACATGAGTTCAAGCCCTGGTCTGGGAAGATCCCACATGCTGCGGGGCAACTAAGCCTGTGCGCCACAACTACTGAGCCTGTGCTCTAGAGCCCGCAAGCCACAACTACTGAAGCCTGTGCGTCTAGAGCCTGTGCTCTGCAACAAGACAAGCCAACACAATGAGAGCCTGCGCACTGCAACGAAGAGTAGTCCCTGCTTGCCACAACCAGAGAAAACCCCACACTCAGCAACGAAGACCCAACACAGCCAAAAATAATTAAACAAATTTATTTTAAAAAAGAAAAAGATCAAAGAAAGAAAAGGCCAAGTTAATCACTTTTACAGCCCATAGTACAAACCAACTGCTTTTCTCTCTCTACTGTCTGATAAACACACAAGAGACTATATATGTATATGTGTGTGTGTGTATAAATATATATATATGAGATGAAATGCAGAAAAAAGGAAAATAAGAAAGATGGTAGAAATGAGGGGAAAAAAGGGAAGGCACGTATAAAAAGGAGTAAGATACAAAGCTACAGTAATGAAGACAATATGGTACTGGCACAAAAACAGAAATATAGATCAATGGAACAGGATAGAAAGCCCAGAGATAAACCCACGCACCTATGGTCAACTAATCTATGACAAAGGAGGCAAAGATATACAATGGAGAAAAGACAGTCTCTTCAATAAGTGGTGCTGGGAAAACTGGACAGCTACATTAAAAGAATGAAATTAGAATGCTCCCTAACACCATACACAAAAATAAACTCAAAATGGATTAAAGACCTAAATGTAAGACTGGACACTATAAAACTCTTAGAGGAAAACATAGGAAGAACTCCCTTTGACATAAATCACAGCAAGATCTTTTTTTGACCCACCTCCTAGAGAAATGGAAATAAAAACAAAAATAAACAAATGGGGCCTAATGAAACTTAAAAGCTTTTGCACAGCAAAGGAAACTATAAACAAGATGAAAAGACAACCCTCAGAATGGGAGAAAAAATTTGCAAACAAATCAACAGACAAAGGAGTAATCTCCAAAATATATGAACAGCTCATGCAGCTCAATATTAAAAAAACAAACAACCCAATTAAAAAATGGGCAGAAGACCTAAATAGACATTTCTCCAAAGAAGACATACAGATGGCCAAGAAGCACATGAAAAGCTGCCCTACATCACTAACTATTAGAGAAATGCAAATCAAAACTACAATGAGGTATCACCTCACACCAGTAAGAATGGGCATGTATCACTTCACATTCAGAAAATGTACAAACAACAAATGCTGGAAAGGGTGTGGAGAAAAGGGTACCCTCTTGCACTGTTGGTGGGAATGTAAATTGATACAGCCTCTATGGAGAACAGTATGGACGTTCCTTAATAAACTAAAAACAGAACTACCACATGACCCAGCAATCCCACTACTGGGCATATACCCAGAGAAAACCATAATTCAAAAAGGCACATGCACCCCAATGTTCACTGCAACACTATTTACAACAGCCAGGTCATGGAAGCAACCTAAATGCCCATCGACAGACGAATGGATAAAGAAGATGTGGTACATATATACAATGGAACATTACTCAGCCATAAAAGGGAACGAAATTGGGTCATTTGTAGAGACGTGTCTGGACCTAGAGACTGTCATACAGAGTGAAGTAAGTCAGAAAGAGAAAAATATCGTATATTAACGCATATATGTGAAATCTAGAAAAATGGTACAGATGAACTGGTTTGCAAGGCAGAAATAGAGACACAGATGTAGGGAACAAACATATGGACACCAAGGGGGGAAGCGGGGGTGGGGGGGAGGTTGGTGGTGGGATGAACTGGGAGATTGGGATGGACGTATATACACTAATATGTATAAAATAACTAATAAGAACCTGCTGTATAAAAAAATTAATAAAATTCAAATAATAAAAAGGACTAAGGGCATAATTTCAAGATGTACTGAGACAGATAAGTATTTTTAAAAGGAAGGAGACATAAGTGTGGTACATTATAAAGTCAGGTTCAAAGAACACATTTGAACTATGTCTTCCTAGCTAAAGATTACCCTGTAAGCTCCTTGAAAGGCAAAAACTATATATCTCTATTGTAGAACAAGTGTTGGCAACCTTTTTCTGTATGGGGTCAAATTGTAAATACTTTAGGCTCTTTGGGCCACGTGGTCTCTTTTGCACCTACTCAACCCTACCTTTGTAGCACAAAAGCAACCACAGATTAATATGGAAATGAATGAGCATGGTTGTGTGTCAATAAAACTTTATTTACAAAAACAGGTGGAGGGCCACACTTGGCCCATGGGCTATTGTTTGCTCCTCTGCTAGAACACTGCTAATTAGTATCCAAAGTAGATTCTAATTAAGGCACAAGTAAGGACTATTTTGCCAGATATATTAACCTGCACTAAGCCACATGTTCAATAACTGAGCTTATTTAAAATACTACACTTTATAGTCCAGGTATATAAAAGACAACATGAACTTAAGACTGACTTATCCTGCTTATATAAGGCAAAATACCAGATATAATAGAAAAAAATGACTTCAATTATCTATAAGGTCAAGGATATTTTAGAAGGAAAAATTCATTAATGGTAGCATTCTTAAATGCCTTTCTCCCAACTACTTTATTTTGCTCACAAATTATACCAGCAACTTATTAGACATATACGATACCTGTTTGATGGGCTCTGCAATTAAACACCCAACTACTTTCTTTTCATCAGAAATAAAGAGAAAAGTTTTAGTTCTGTTTGGACATCTGGGAACAACTTGCTGGAAGCCCAATTCATAATCGACAAGTTCTTGGACATCTTCGACCTAATGATGTTAAAAACCAAAAGATGTGAATTTGTTTGAAAAAGTATAATAGAAAATATACATATTTATATACACAAAAAGTATGATTACCATCAGTTTAGCCTCTTTTATCTCTACTTCCTAAATTTACACAATCCCAAAATTATTTCACTATTGATGCATGTTTCTGCCACTTTGGAAACAGGGTTTTAAGAAACTATTTTGAAGATTGCTTTCAGCAGACAGAAATTCAGACCCTTGGGAGGGATAAGGAGTAGGACGATTTTTTTCAGCTTTATTCATTGTTCACTGGGGCTAAACATCCAGCCCAAGAAACAAAGGCAACACCAACATAAGAACTAGACTCTGGAGCCATTAATTTCTCAATATTAAAAAGTTTAGTTTCTCTCTCACAAATTGAAGTTGTAGATAAAAGATAAGCTATAGAGCCTTATCTGTTTTCTTTAATCTCCACCTGACACTCCTTTGTCTTGTAACTGTAAGTTTAATTTTGTATGACATACTATGAAAGTCTTCCTTACAACTGTACCGAAGTACAGCAGATTATCTATAAGCAAAGGTATTTTACAGTTCAACATAGGTTGATTTCTTGGCAGAGAATGGGGAGAGTAGGAGGAAAACAAAGATTGAGAAAGTAACACTATAAATCAACTACACTTCAATTAAAAAAAGAAAAGAAAAACTAATGTTCCACACCTTTCTGATAGCATAACTCGGATCATGTGACAGGACCAACACAATTTTCCCATCCCAAAATTCTGCTACAACACGTTCTTTTTTCCAGCCCTGCCAAAGGAAAAAAAAAGTCACAGTTTAATCTGAAGAGGGAAAAAAATTAAATAATATGGTCTGGAGAGAACAAAAAGATGGACAATGAATGATATAAAAAAGATAAAACCCGGGCTTCCCTGGTGGTGCAGTGGTTGAGAGTCCGCCTGCCGATGCAGCGGACACGGGTTCGTGCCCCGGTCCGGGAGGATCCCACATGCCGCGGAGCGGCTGGGCCTGTGAGCCATGGCCGCTGAGCCTGCGCGTCCGGAGCCTGTGCTCCGCAACGGGAGAGGCCACAACAGTGAGAGGCCCGCGTAACCCCCCCCCCAAAAAAAAAAAAGATAAAACCCAACTACAGGAATGTGGTAAGGGAAATAAAAGATGCCTAAAACAAAGTGTCTGCCCTCCAGGGGCTGACACCCTATCAGGAGACATGTAAACAATCTATTATAAAATAAGTTGAAGTCAAATAAGAGCCCTTCATAGGAATATAGAGAAAAAACAATGAATTATTAGGGGTGTGAAGGTGGGGCATGGGTGGGATAAGCAGAGGGGTTTTTTTTTGGGGGGTTGCACCAGCGGCAAGTGGGGTCTTAGTTCCCTGACCAGGGATCGAACCTGCACCCCCTGCACTGGCAGCACAGAGTCTTAACTGCTCGACTGCCAGGGAAGTCACCAAGCAGAGTTTTAATAAATAAGGCTAAAAGTATTATGAAGGCATGAACTACAGCAATAAAAATAGGGGAAAAAGGGAGTGCATTTGAGTAGCAGGTGTAGTCATAAAGATAAGGCCAACAATAGGATGTATTTGGAGTAGGAGGGTGCTTGATGAAGAGGTGGGACCTCTCTTCTCAGTAAAGAAAAAGCCTGGAGAAGTCGTAGAAAAGCTGTTTTTCTAAGGTTATCTATAAAGAAGAAACTAAAGTGAGGAAAGGAGAAACTCCTCAAGTCTTTGAGTTTTGTATCTTGACTGCTCAGCTCTGAAAGCTAGAGGTAAGGATGCAGGGTGTTCACTCAACCTAGAACAATAGCTTCTCTTATATTAGGACAGGAGGTTTGAAGTGGCACTTTTATTAAAACTTAACTTTTAAATACATCAGTCTCTAATATTAAGGACAACAAAATTGCAGATGATGAAATATTTTTGGACACATAGATCTTTCCATATTTAGGCAAAAAAAATGTATCTTTTAAAGCAGTTTCACTTTTTAGAACAAATGGAAACGACTATTTTTCTTACTTACTGCATATTTGATTCCCTCCAGAAATCTGTGGTGATGCTGAACATGCTGCAGTTCATCCTCGGGGTTGGAAGCAGTGTAGATCATGCCACAAGACTTACACATGGTGGCTCCAAAATGTTTCTGACCAGCGTCCTACAATTGGAAGAGGAAAAAAAAAAAGCCTATCTAAACACATCACAGTTAGCTCTACATTTAGTTCATGTAAATTTGTCCATTCATTCAAATTTGTCCTCATTTTTTTTTTTTATGCTGGCACAGGTGAAATACTGAATGAAGTCTGGTTACTCTATCTTCTTCTCTCTCAGCACAAACAAGATGGAATGAGAAGAGCCCTAAACATCCAATAGTGATGAAAGAAGTGAAACTGCCTCTTTGGACAGTGGAAAAAAAATCAAGATTCTTTAGCTGGACCCATAGTTCTAGGAAGCAATAAGATTAAATCATAAATATTATAGCTAAGATGAACAATGGAACTTCCTTATTAAGCTCTTATACGAGAGGCCTAAAAAAGCCTCATTTCAAAGAGGCAGGGCAAAAATTTCAGGACTTATACATTCATTATATAGTATTTTTTCCTTAAGTGGTTAGGAGTCTGAAAGTCTTTTCCCCAAGAGTTGATAAAAAATAAGTAAAATACATAGTAAAAGTTCAGGAAAAGCACAGATAAATTAATGAATATAGAGAATTCAGGGATATTCAATGTCAAGGCTTATTAATTCCCATTGTATCTCATAAGGCATTGCTTAATGCTACTGAAAAATACCAAATTTTGAATTGTCTATATTGGCGTTTGCAAACTTTCTACCAAGGGCCGGAAAGTAAACATTTTAGGCTTTGCAGGACACACATATTCTTTTTTTCCAACCCTTTAAAAATGTAAAAGCCATTTTTAGCTCATAGACCTTGGTCCAGATTTGGCCCATAGCCATAGTCTGCCAAACCCATGTCTAATGCAATGTTGCTATTCTCATTAAGTCTTTTATAGATCAATAATAATTTTCCTTATCCAGAGGCAGCTCATTCATCAGCATTCTACTACGTTGCTAGGACTGCCCAACACCATCAGTTCAAAAATGTACTTGATTAGCTTTAAATGCTGCCACTACAGCAAAGGTAGCATTTACAAACTCAGAATATCTATAACCCCCAGTAACTATGCTTAGACAACACGTCAGACTTCAGGTTCTATATGTGAGAGCCATGTACAGGAGGAGCTTTGTTTTAAATTTACTCACAATGACGAGCTGGTCTTTTGTTTCTTTATTTGCATCTCTGGTATTAGTATTTTTCTGTATATTGATTTGTTTCAAGAAGTTAGTAGACGTGACGGATCCCACAGAAGACTGTTCTTCAACTAGAGATCTTGAAGTAGAAAGTTGGTAAGTATTATTTAATAATTTAAAAATATTTGACAAATTATAATGAAAAGAAAAGAAATGTATATAACATTTGCAGAGGACTTTGCAATTTTTAGGGCTTTCTATCGACATAACTTGATGAAGTAATAGGGCTAGAAACAATGAGAAACCTGAGGCCCACTCAGACGGGATCAGTAAACTACTCAAGGTAAAGTAACTAGTGAAGAATGGCAGAAAGACTCAAATCCCTGTCTTCTAACACCACGTCGAAGGGATTTCATCTACAGTATCAGCTGCATATATGCAGGATTTCTTTGTAAGTTGATGTCACCCTTAAAATTTAATCTTTTCTTGCTTTATCAAACCTTAGGACCCACGTAGGCATAAAGAAACTCCTGGAATACCACAGCAGATAAGTAGACTCTAATACTGAATCTCACAGACCCACAGGAAGTCAGTCACCAGCACATTATGATCCAACAACTTTTTACGGGGTCAGTGAGTGTGAGGCTAATACACTCGCTAGTCTGCATGCCTAAAGCAGCACCCTACTATTCTCAAATTCTTAGAGAGAAAAAAAAAAAAAATTGGCTGGATAGATGTTGTTGAGGCAACCTTTTCGCATTAGGAGAGAACGCTTGGACTGGCTTATAGAGATTGCAAACAGGAGCCCTTCGTCCAAAACCAGCTAGCAAATGTTTTGATCAACTCACACAGAGTTTAAAACTTTGGATTAGCTACCAATATTTTAAAATCTAGAGATTCCACTTAAAAATGCGTATTTCCAACATTGCAAGAGACACTGTAAGATCATTAGACCTCTGTTTCATCAAAGAATCTACTAGTTAGAGCTACACAGCACATGCTCTTTTAGGTGGGGCATGCTTCTCCAGTTGGCTCCAGTCTCTGCCCAGCCTGGCTGGCTCTGTAGGCACTGAGTTTGTAACCCTTGCCTTATAATGAAATGACCTTTTTCCAAGGATGAAAGAAATAGAAATCTCTAGAGAGTAGAGGCAAGGAAAAAAACCAAGTACCCAATGCAAGGGGTTCAAACAGAAGCTGACACTGACAAATGAAAAAACACTGGAAAAAAGCCCCTATCTAACGCTTTATGCTAACCCAAGGTGTCCTGCTAGCATCTGACTAGAAAATGGCTTTCAAACTGACTTGACAAACCTATGGTGAGAAATATATTCCACATAATGACCAATACAGATACATATATATAACTGAAAAAAAAAGGATTCACTAAATACACTTACTACGTGAGAGATGCATTATTCCATTTTAAAAAAATGCTAGATGTGATACCCTTAAACTGATTTGATAAACTACTAGTGCCTGTAATATAAAAAACACTTGTCTAGGTCGCTGACCCCCTCCACCCCTTATACAACGTTTGCTAAGTACCTCAGCTCTTCCCATCTCTGCATGCGTGACCGCAATCTCTTTACTTCTATCCTAGCAATTTTAACAGTTTATTATATGTATTTGTTTAAATGCCTGTCCTCTTCTAACCATAACTTCCTTGATAGCAGGACCATGTGTTATTTACCTTCACATCTCTAAAACTCGGTGTAGTTCAATACCACATGGTACTCTATAAATGTTTGCCAAACGTGAGACTACAAATCCAAAGAATCTGTAACCTACCTAAAGTAAAACTCATAGATTAAACCACAAGAAATTGATGATATCTGATTTTTTAGGTCCTACATAATGAGCAAATTTCAAATGATTCAATCAACAGTCTCCTAATATCTCCTTATGCTACGTTAAATTAGTTTATATGCTATTAGCTAATTGTGGTAGGTTTCAATCCTCAATAAATAGTCATGAAAGAAGACAGATGAGAAAAGGGAAGGGTGAAAAAAACTAGGAATATGGACTTTGAAGCGGAAAAGTTGCCCACCCAACCCAATCTCCAAGGCAATTTAGGGTGAGATGCCCTAAGAGTAGGAGAACTTACATAGGAAGTACCTTGCTCAATACCTTTAGTTGTTTATCATCAAATAGGAAGAAGAGAACCAAAGCTGTTTAGCGAGATGAGACGTTCAGACTATAAGAAACTTCTTTTTCAGAGCTTTTACACTTATGCTCACATGTACCCATGCCTCCCGCACTTCCAGTTTTAGTTTTGAGCAGGATAGTGGTAGCTTCAGCTGGGATTTATAACAGCATTAAGCTGCTGCAAGTTACTTACTCCTCTGGCCAGAGTCTCCTCATCTATAAATGGGGTAATGATGGTATCTACACCATGAGGTTGTAAACGCCCATTAAACATGAACTATTATCAATATGTTGTCACACAGGGGAGGCGATACAGCCTAATGGGCTTTGGTTAAAATATGGATTCTAGTCCTGGCTCTGCCAACTAATAGCTGTGCAACTGTGGCTGGATTACAAACAGTTTTCTCAGCTGAAAATGGTAATAATAGCATCAATCTTCTAGGTTGTTGTGGGGATAAGTGAAATAATGGATATAAACTACTTATTATGGGTCAGGTACTATATAAAAATGTAGCAATTATTACTATCCAAGTCCACAAAGGTCTTTTCCTTCTCTCAGCTCTTCAAGTTCTTAAGAAGTTTCTATGAGAGGATCTGATTTCATCTTCTATTCTTAATATCTCTTTAATGGGGAAGAAAAACAGTGTTCTCCAAATTAAATAGTGTAAGAAAGAAAAAGAGACCCAGTGGACTCACAGTTAAACCTTGAACATTAAAATAAGAGTGACACTTACCTTTTTGTGTTGACTGAAGACACGGTGAAGATGGGATAGACAAGGGTCTCAGGAGAAACTTGTAGGGAAAAAGGTGACAATAATTTGTATCACAGAATAAACTTAAAGCTTTAAAGCATAAGAGTTTAAAGGTTTATAAGACCAAAATACTCACATTACTTGATTTCAAGACTTAACAGTAATCAAGACAGTATGGTATTGACAAAGGGATAGACAAATAGATCAATGGAACAAAATAGAGAGCCCGGAAACACCCACGCAGATCCAGTCAACTGATTTTTAACAAAGAGACATAAGTTAATTCAATGGAGAAAAGAAAGTCATCAAATGGTGCTGGAACAATTTGACATCCACATTCAAAAAAGATGACAACACTCACATAAAAATTAACTCAAAACGGATCACAGATCTAAATGCAAAATGTAGAACTATAAAACTTCTAGAAGAAAAATCCACATGAACTTGGGTTTGGTAATAATTTTTTACATACAATACATGAAAGAAAAATTAAATGAGTTAGACTTTATCAAATTTAAGTGTTTTGCTCTGCAAAAACTGTTAAGAGAATAAAAAGACAAGCCACAGACTAGGGAGTAAATACTTTCAATCATATTTCTGATCAAAGATTTGTATACAGAATATAAAAAGAACTCTTAAAACTCAATAATAATAAAAAAAAGTCCAATTAAAAATGGGCAAAAGATCTGAACAGACCCTTCTCCAAAGACATATAGATGGCAAATAAACACATGAAAAGATGTTCTGCATCATTTGTCATTAGGGAAATGCAGATTAAAAGCACAATGAGCTATTACTGCACACCTATTAGAATGGCTAACATCCAAAAAACTGACAATAACAAATGCTGGAGGGAATGGGGAGTAACAGGAACTCCCATTCATTGCAGGTGGGAATGCAAAATGGCACAGTTGCTATGGAACATTTTGGCAGTTTTTTTTATAAAGTTTAACATAGATTTGCCACATAACCCAGCAATCATCCTTGTAGGTCTTAACCCAAGTGTTATGAAATCTTATGTCCACAGAATAACATGTACACAAATGTTTATAGCAGCTTTATTCATAATTGCTAAAAACTGAAAGCAACCAAGATGGCCTTTAATGGAGGAATGGATAAACAGACTATGTATGGTAATTCCATAGTTCAGCAAAAAAAAAAAGGAATGAACTATTAATACATGCAACAACACACATGAACCTTAAACGCATTTTACTAAGTGAAAGAAGTCAGACCCAAAAGTCTACCTACTGCACGACTGCATTTGTGTGACATTTTTACCGGAAAAGGTAAAACCATGGGGACAGAAAACAGATTAACGGTTGCCAGGGGGATGAAGAAGGGTAGAATAGATGACTACAAAGGATACACACAAGGGAAATTTTAGGATGAGAGAACTGTTCTGTAGGGTACTGGAGGGGTTGATTCATGCCTCTATGCACTTGCAAAATCCATAGAACTATATATAACAAAGAGTAAAATTGAATGTATGTATTAAAAAAAAATCAACCATGATGTTGAGGGATCCCAAGATGGAATGCAGGCTGTGACAAATGAATCTAACTGCATTAGAACTGCATGGAGAACTGCATTGAAGGAGACAATGGAAGAAAGGAAAGATGACCTAAGTAACTTTACAAAACAACGTTTTGACTAGAAATTAGAAGGCTAAAGACAAAAGGACTGTATTTAAATGGTATACGCTGGTAAATCTGTTTCTCACAGGAGAATGAGTTAATACTGAAACTGCCCTGCAGGTATATTGGGACTGTACTTAACTAAGTAGGTGCACAGTGACGGGGAGGAGCCAGCTCTCTCACTGTCTGAGAGAAGTTACAGACAAACCAAGAAGGAAGGGAGGGATAACCCGAGGGACTGGATTAGTCAGAGACATCAAGTTTGAACTTATGTTTCTTTAGCATATGTACACATGGAGAGATACACAAACAATTGTAGATGTGTGTGTATACATGGATTAGGATACATACATATATTGATATTTTCTAGCTCTGTCTGCTGAGAGGGCCTAGGAGCCACGACACTCCAGTAGCAACAAGCACACCAAGTCCAGAACTTGGTTTCTAAATTATATTCCCCAATAGAAGGAACTAGGGTTCCTTGGAGAAGTGGCCGAGTCTAGGACTGCGTCAAGGCAAACGCAAGATGAGCTGGGAGCATCTTGTAGTGACAGAAAGTAAGAAGGAAGTGCTCAAAAAGTAAAAGAAGGGGACAGGTCAAAGAGAACTGACCTGAAAATATCTCCCAATGGTCAAAGCTGAAACAATATGAGCAACAGAATATATAAATAATGTAGTATTAAATTTTAACCCAAAATATAAAATATTAATGAGTGCATACTGATGAATATCCAGGAGTCCATTTATTTATTTAAAGATTGAATAAATAGGGACCCCCCTGGTAGTCCAATGGTAAAGAATCCACCTTCCAGTGCAGGGGATAAGGGTTCAATCCCTGGTCGAGGAGCTAAGATCCCACATGCCGCGGGGCAACTAAGCCTGCATGCCGCAACTACTGAGCCTGTGCGCCTCAACTAGAGAGCCCGCGTGCCAGAAACTACAGAGCCCACACACTCTGAAGCCTGTGCGCCACAACTACAGAGACAAAACCCACACACCACAACTGGAGAGAAGCCTGCACGCCACAACGAAGAGCCCGTGCACTGCAACAAAAGATTCTACATGCCACGATGAAGATCCCGCGTGCCATAACTAAGACCCGACGCAGCTAAAAAAGTAAAATAAAGACAACTCTTCCTTACAGAAGGAATCCACATTGGGCTTCCCTGGTGGTTCAGTGGTTAAGAATCCGCCTGCCAATGCAGGGGGACACGGGTTCGAGCCCTGGTCCAGGAAGATCCCACACGCCGCAGAGCAACTAAGCCTGTGCACCACAACTACTGAACCTGCACTCTAGAGCCCGCGAGCCACAACTACTGAAGCCCACACGCCTAGAGCCCATACTCTGCAACAAGAGAAGCCGCCGCAATTAGAAGCCCGTGCACCGCAATGAAGAGTAGCCCCCGCTCGCCGCAGCTAGAAAGCCCACGCACAGCAATGAAGACCCAATGCAGCCAAAAATAAATCTAGGAAAAAATAAAAAATAAAGGATTATTTTTAAAAATAAAATAAGGGAACATTGTTTAAAAAAAAAAAAAGAAGGAATCCAAATAATATATGAAAAATCTTCCTCTCTAGGAGATGAAACTTAATCCCCACCCCTCCCTGAAAGGGCAGGCCAGACTTAGTCACTTACTTCCAAAGAATAGAGTTTGGGAAAGGAAAAAGGGTAACTTTTACAGTGGAGAAATAGGGCAAACCTGACCTTCACCAAGTGACAGAGGTTAACATCATCCGTAATGTCATGTGGACATCAGCACCCAATACGATGTGGTGAGAAGGGCAGTTCACCTCAGTGGCATTCTTCCCCCAAACCCATAACCCCAGTCTAATGATGAGGAAAACATCAGACAAACCCAGGTTCAGGAACATCCAGATAAGATATCTGGCCAGGACTCCTTAAGAATGTCAAGGTCGTGAAAAACATGGAAACAAAGAAAAGACTGAGAAAATATCACAGACCAGAGGAGACTAGGGAGACATGACAGCTAAATGCAATATGATCCCCAGGGTGGATCCTAGAACAGAAAGGGGACATGAATGGAAAAATTGATCAAATCCAAATACAATCTAGAGCTTAGTTAATAGGAACATACCAATTATCTAAGTTTCTTAGTTTTGACAAAGGTACCACAGTAATTTAAGATGCTAACAAAGGGGGAAATAGGGTAATACAGGAACTCTCTGTATTATCTTTACAACTTTTCTGTAAATCTAAAATTACTACAAAATAAAAAGCTTATTAAAAAAAAGAAAAAAGGTGTGAGTTCCCTGGTGGTTAGGACTCGGAGCTTTCACTGCCCAGGTATAATCCCTGGTCCAGGAACTGAGATCCCACAAGCCACGTGGCATGGCCAAAAAAAAAAAAAAGAAAGGAAAAGAAAGAAAAAAGTTAAATAGTAGTTGATTAGAGAAAAATAGTACGTTGAAAGTATGCTATCTAGTAAAAGAGCAAACTGTTAACTTTGCACTGAAAAATAATTAGAGCTCATTCTCTAGAAACAAGGCCAAGACAGTTGAGAATCTGACCTGCTATGGATAAGTTACTTAACCTTAAGTCTGTTTCCTCATCTGTGAAATGGTCATACAAACTTATTTCCTAGGGTTGTTGTAAGAATTAAATGATAAATTAGTTATTAAGTAATAAGGTTTTATCATTTGTTTACTACCTTTGTGAATTTTGCCATATGCTTGTACCATCTGTTCTTATTTTTGTTTGTTTGCTCATGCAGAGTGGCATGCAGAATCTTAGTTCCCCAACCAGAGATAGAACCTGTGCCCCCTGCAGTGGAAGCACAGAGTCTTAACCACTGGACCGCCAGGGAAGTCCCTTGTACCATCTGTATTATATTTTATTTATTAAATAAAAGTCCTTAAATGGACTTAATGTACTAAAATAAATTTATTTTTAAAGAAAATTTTATAACTATTGTAAATGAAAAGCCGTTATTATTTTTCTGCTACATGTTCTGTCATATCAGGGATAGCACAACCCATGGAAAACAGAAAGCATACTAAACATTTAGCACTGCCTGGTACATATTCAGCAGCTAATAAGTACTAGTTATTAACAGTATATCTCAGAATAACCATTATGAATCATCATTCGATATATCCTTATATCATTAGATCCTCTTAAGGGCTATTTTGCTTTTAGTTTTATCTTTGTTTTCTTCCTGTGAGCTACAGTTTCTCACTATATTCTGCATATCTACTTCTAGAATTTTAATTTATTTCCAAATTTATAGATATAATGAACAAGTTAAAGTTACAAAGAATCTGGCTGGTAAGTAGAATGTTAATCAACCTCTTTATATATTCATAGTTTAGTAAATACTGTTTAAGTGAACAGTGACACCATAAGTTAATAATAGGATTTCAGGACTAAGAGAAATTTAAAAATTAAGACTAACCCCTTACTTTAGAGATTTCTTCCCTAGATTACACAGTTAATTAGTGGCAGATCTAGACAAAACCCCAAGGTTCCTGATGCCCAATTCAGTGCCCTTTTATGGCCTTTTAAATTCTGCTTACAACTGGGCTTTGATCATAGATATATAACAAATTGTTTTCACTCCCTCCTATTATTGGGGGTAAAATGTAGGTAGGGTATGTATGATAAGAACACCTGGCCCTAGGGAGCTTAAGTAACTTGGCCACATCTCACAGACCAATTAATCATCAGTATTTTGTCTTAAATTCCAGCCTAAGGTCTCTTTGTCTCCTCCATAAAATGCACTGCACTGCTTATCATAGAAAACAGTGTTACCAAAATAAACACAAAGATACAGGTCACAGATAGTGAATATTTAAAAAAACCAAAATATTATTGTATATAATTTCATATTGACACATGTAATGAAGCATTATTACAAGCAAATAAACTCATTTTGAGAAGAAAACTTTTCTCTTACTTACCTGCCTTGTTCTCACTGAAAGACTCCTCTGAAGAAAAACTCTTATTTTCATCGGTTTTACATTCCCTTGAAGAAATGACTCTATCTGATGCATCCTGAAAATAATGAATAAGTAAAATTAAGGAAACCTATAATTCTTAATCATTTTCTATTTAGTGAATGAATCCCAACAGATCTGCTTCTAAAACAGAGTATGTAGTTTATTATGAATTATATTTCATAATGACTTTAAATTCTCAATTTTCAGTCTATTTTAAGGAAAATTCCTTTTATATCTACTAAATGTAATATTTTAAAAGACAGAGTGTGCATATTTAAGTCCATAATTTGTCATCCTGTCAAAAATGTATTATTTCCTGACAAAGAAGACAGAATGAAGATTATAGAACATCCCTTCTACAAAAATGAATTGAACAACAACAACAAAATTAGTGAAAATAGCAAAAATTTCCCCAGCAGCTGCAAAACTGAAAAGGAACAACCTTCTGTCACAAGCTTTAAAATCAGGGAGGCAAGGAAAGAAAAAGAACATTCTGGGGTAGTTGGAGAGGCTTCTAAACTCCCACTTTTGGGGCAGTAGCAGAGACTAACACTATTTATTTGGTGAGACTCAGAATACATAGCTTGGGGGAAAAGGAAAAAACTTTTGATTAAAGAGGAACTCATTCAACATCATAACATCTCAGAAAAGGTGAGACAACCCATCAGTTTGCCACTTCTCAGGGGTCCATAAGGAGTTGGGGAAAGGTTATGCACCCTCTAATGAAAAACAGGATTCACCCTCGTCTAGCAGAGATGAATACTAGTAGTGGGTATCTAACAAAACCTTAGGGAGAGAACAGAGCCCAGTTCCACAAATTTAAGATGCACAAATGCCCAGCTTCTCAAACTACTAAAAACTAGGCAGAACCCAAAACCTAACCCCTTAAAATGAAGCTCAGAAAAAAAAGTCAGAAGAGTACTGCAGAGAAATCATCATGTCATTGTAACAAGACTGTTTCTTCATTATCAAATGGATATGCAGAATACTAATGAGGACCCCTCCCCTACATGCACTTTGCTTCATTGGATTGAGAATTAATTTTAGCTTGAGTTGTGCCCTAGATTTTTAAAAACTGAGTTATATTTATATACACTGACATGCACAGATACAGAGTTTGATGAATTTTTCATAAACTTATATATCCTGTAACCCAAACCCAAAACCCCTATCAAGATATAGGGGTGTTTTTGTTTTTGTTTGTCAGAAACAAGATGAAGAATTAGTAGAATTGCTGTTATGGCTTAGGCAAGCAAGAACACGCTCCATTTAACAATATACTTGGCAATACTTGATAGAAATGCTTACAAGGGCAGCAGGTAAATGAAATTAGCAGCAAAACTGGACTGATCTAGATATGTATCCATACGTTGATTTAGTGGAAGGAAATGAAGAGCTCATACCTGTCAAATGGTAGCCTGATACTCTGTTCCAGGAGATTACTGCCATGCAGGAATGTGGGCTTAGCTTTGCCAGAGTTCAATTTTTCATGAAACACCAGAAATCTGTTACCTTACATTTAAAAAAAAAATGCTGGCTCTAAACATTATGTAGGCCAAGCAAACATCCATGGGCTGGACCTGGTCCACTGGCCACCAATTATAATCTTTGCCATTGAGATCTGAAATGTAGGTGACTACAAGAGGTAGGAACTGGGGTTGAATTTGGGAGGAGGCAATGAGAACAATAAGAGGAGGTGAGGAGGGAAATGACTACAGAGAGAGTTTGAATTGCTCAGCAGTATATGAGCCTCAGAGTGTATGTGAAAGCCTACAGCTGCAAGGGTTGTGATGAACATAAACAAGTCACCACAGACACGGAAGTCGCCAAACTGGGAGCCCTTCTTAAGGCCTGTTGCCTCAACTACTTTCTGCCCTTGGCTACATGGAAGAAAACCACCTTTCTCTCCTTACTGACAAGAGGTCAACAATAGAAGGTATAGACCTGCATTGTCTGTTATGGTAGCCACCAGCCACAAGCAGCTAATGAGAACTTGCTACATGGCTAGTCCCAATTGATACATGCTGCAAGTGGAAATAAACATGGATTTCAAGGACTTGGTACAAAAAAAGAATGCAAAATATCTCATTAATAACTTTTTATATTGATAACATAGAAACAGTAACATTTAAAACATACTGCGTTAAACTTTTTAGAAACTATCTTAATGTGGCCACTAGAAGATTTTAAATTACCTGTATTGGTATTCTATCAGACAGCACTAGTCTAGGCCAGCTGGGACAAATAGGAGCACAATCAAAAAAGCATAGAGGACTTCCCTGGTGGCGCAGTGGTTGAGAGTCCGCCTGCCGATGCAGGGGACACGGGTTCGTGCCCCGGTCCAGGAAGATTCCACATGCCACGGAGCGGCTGGGCCCATGAGCCATGGCCGCTGAGCCTGCGCGTTCGGAACCTGTGCTCCGCAACGGGAGAGGCCACAGCAGGGAGAGGCCCGCGTACCGCAAAAAAAAAAAAAAAAAAAAGGCATAGAATGGCACCCATGAAAACACACTATGTAAAATAAACAAAAACCCAACTATACATTCACAGTGATCATCTCCAAGTAGTGGGATTACAGAAGATACATATTTTTTATATTCTCTGTATTCTCTAAATTTTCTAGAATAAGCTAGTACTTTAAATAATGAGCTGAAACAAACAAACAAAAATATGCTCATTCTCTGGAAATCTACTACCTGAATTTTGTTATTTCTACTTTCTAAAAACAGACTACCAAGTAAAAGTTAAGTTTCTCTGGACCACAGTTATGAGGGAACTTAACGAGATGTAAACCTTAATGCCAAGAAAATGTTGGTAGGCTTCCGTAAGCCAAAAAAGGGAGGAAAAGCCCATCTTTCTACCCTGTCTCTAAATTCTTTATAGTGATGATACTATTTGGCTTCATAAAAGCAGTCCTACAGACTGTAAAGAAAACAAAATTTTGGGCTTCCTTGGTGGCACAGTGGTTAAGAATCTGCCTGCCAAGGCAGGGGACATGGGTTCGAGCCCTGGTCTGGGAAGATCCCACATGCTGCAGAGCAACTAAGCCCGTGCACAACTACTGTGCTCTAGAACCCGCGAGCCACAACTACTGAAGCCCGTGCACCTAGAGCCCGTGCTCCACAAGAGAAGCCACCGCAATGAGAAGCCCGCGCACAGCAACGAAGAGTAGCCCCGCTCACCACAACTAGAGAAAGCTCACGTGCAGCAGGGAAGGCCCAACGCAGCCAAAAATAAAATAAATTTATAAAAAAAAAAAAACAAATTTTGTTCAAAGTTACATATATACAATGTATACTGAAGCTCTGTTATATGGCCAGCTTAGTTTTTAAAGTGATATATTTACATTTACCTTTATTAATTTCTCTTCATTTTTACTTCTTTCACTCAGCAGCTCAGTGTTCAGTTCTTTTTCTACTAACAAACACTTTGGCACTTGCCTTGTCTCAAAACTTCTTTCATTGACAGTTTCCACATCAGACTCTTCAATAACTTCTGATTTATTCTTTTGGGTGAGTCCCAGTAATGGCTTATCTTCCAGGGACAATTTTCTCAGAGAGGGTTTTTTCCTAACAAAAAAAGCCGCTCCTCCCTGGAGGGTAACTTGCGGTTTGACCTTTTGGCTTAGAACTCGAGGAGCATTCAGATTATTTTCAGCTGAGTAACAATTATTCTCTTTCTCCACAATTGGCTTATAGGCCACTCGATTTTGCTTGGAATTTTTAGGATTCTTTGACACAGGCTTGATGCACTTATATCCTGGTTGACACTTAGCAGTTAAACACTTCTGTGGTTTTTTGTTCATCGTCTTGGAGCAGGCTGGTTTTCCCTGCATTTTTCCTGTCACACTGGGATATGATCTATCTTCATTATTAGTTTTTAGATAAATAGATCTACTCTCTTTTATCAGCTTTCTCTCCAGTGGATTGAGGTACCACTTATCTTTGTTGTAAAAGGATATGGTAGACACAGCAGATTTAAATGGTGAACCTTGATTTGCAGATGGCAATCTAGTTTTAGTCGTTTTGAGTGGACTTGAAATGAAATGGCCTTGTTGAGAGCAATGAATCTTTCCTTCATTTTTATCACTGCTTTGGCAAATGTGCTTTTTATTAGGTGATGGAAATATATTTTCAGTAAAGTCCGAAATTAATTTCTTTGATGGAATTTCTGATAATAGGCTATGAAAAGAAACACAGTCCATTGATAAATATAGTTATTTTGCTTCCATTTCTATGTCAATTTACTGCTAAGCAATAAACAGCTCTACCTGTAAGCATATTAAAAATGCATCTTCTCCACCAAACATCCATCCATATACATTAGTAGTTTAACAGCAGGATTCTCAAATTCTGTCTTTACCAAACAAAGCATTTGAATATTTTTCAAAACTAAGATTCCAATGTTTGTGAAAACAAACACTGTTTACAGAGAAGCTTTGAGATGCACGTATATGTATATGTGTGTGTGTGTGTGTTTTAAAACCTATTTCTAAGTTTTGGCCATATACCTGCTATAATTTCCCTAAAATGATTAATTTTATGTAATAAACTGACCACTTAGGGCTGTTCTATAATATATATCTCTGGTATGACATAGAGTATAGAGCTTTAGAGGATTGCTTACTGATGAGTATCTACTATATGCAAAACAGTATGTTAAATATTACATAAGAGAGCAGAAAGGAGCAAGGTAATAAAAGATCTGACCCACATTTCCAAGCCATAGGAAACAGCCCTTTCTCTGAGTCCCTCCAAAGGCCTTAAAGAATTAATTATGAAAGCTTACAGTATTTCCAGACTAGAATTAGAATATAAAGTATTACTGTAGCCACAAGGAGTAGGTGAATGGAAGAATGGAAATACTTAGAGATAGAAGAGAGGAGATAAAAAATGCAAGATGGTGAATTTTTCTTTTTTTAACAGTTTCTACTCATAGGATGAGACTCACTTATCACAGTTCAAAGAATGCTGCTTCCTTTTCCTTGGAGTTAAAGTTGACATCTTCTTAACTGAACTCCTAAAAGCAACAGAACAATATAATAACCAAATTAATCCAATGTGTATAAAAATCAGTAAATCAAAATTATACTTTATAAGTCTGAAAGAGTTCTCAGATGGGTAATGGTCCATAAAGATCCAAAAAAGGGGGGATGGGTTTAAAAAGCAAATCACTTTAATAAAGGTTTAAACCATGAAGGTAAAAAAAAAAAAAAGAAAAGGAAAAACACTACATCACAGTAGTAACTAATTCAGCAGGGACAGTACAATTTAATTAACTAATTAAGCAGGAATACTACATGTTTCAAGCCGGAAAATGATCCTATTGAGGAAGGATTTTACCCCATTTCAGGACACACTTTCCCCTCAATTAGCCTGATGAACCCATACCAAGTTCAATCACTTTATATTCTGGGCAGCTGTCCTTGCCATTGCCCTCACCCCTACCCCTCCCGCTGTTAGATGCTCTTGCCCTAGGCTTCCATTCCATCCTGCACCTCCTTGGTATCCGTTTAGCACATTTTCTTGTTGTTAGTTTGACTGTCTTTCTCAAAAGCCTACATGTTCAAAGAAGGCAGAGACCGTCTCTAGCTTTTTCATCAGAAGCAAGAAAACGGGGAAGCGTAATCCTCTCTCATTTCTCTAGTCGAGGAGCTGCTTGTTTCCTTATTTACAAAATACTCTGACCTCCTAAGACTGCGGGTAAACAAAATCACGCATGTTAACTCTCGGGCAGATGGTATGTTGCTCAATAGCGTTTTCCCTTCCCCTTCCTTCGGATCAAGTATATTAAAAAAAAAAAATTACACAAGCTTGGCTTCAAACAAACAGAAAGACCTGGGTTTCTGGGAATTCGTGTCGAGCTGCGGCTTAAGGCAAGACCCTTCCGGGGCTGAATGAGGAAAGGTAGGAGAGAAAAGCGCCTCTGTCCCCAAACACTTTCAGCAAAAAGACGAGAAAACTCGGCGTCAGAAAGATGGAAACCCGGTGACCTGGAAGTGCGGACACCCGCTCGCTGGCTTCGGTCTCCAGCCGCGAACGCGCCAAGCACCGAGCACAAGCTCTTTTTCCTTGACATTCACCTCCACGTTCCACAGAACCTCCCGGTCTCCTGGCTCTTCCACCCCACGCCTCGACCCTCCGCAGGACTTACCCGCCCCTCGGACTGGCAACCTCTCCTCAGCAGAGCCAGGGGTCCCGACTGTATTCAAATTCTCGCGCGCCAGTCCAGGCAGAAGTAGGTGAGTTCCGATTGGCCGCTTCCCAGCGCGTCCAGGGGCTGGCTCGGTGATTGGTTGTGCACTAGCGTTTGCCCCGCCTACCCGAAAGGCGGTCTCCAAGATTCTCCCGCCCTTGCAAGGCTAAAAGCTCTCTTCTCTCCGAAACCAAGTCTTCAAGAATCCCGTGAGGCGCGCCGGGCTCCATTCCGGAGGCCTTATCTAAGATGCATTCTGGGAATTGTAGTTTTTAGCAGAATAAAACTGAGGTTTTTATATTATTTTAAACTCTGGAACTCCAGGCACATTCTAAGGTCACTTAGCGTAAGATGTTTTTGTAAGGTAGCCTCTCTAAGATTTCTAGGCAGTTATTTTTCACATTTGAAGCTTTACTGTTAGTTTACCTTTTTTTTTAACTAGTAATACGTTAGGTTTCCAGCTCATTTTTTCATTTTTCAAGTTAAATTAAAAAATCATTACAGTAACATCTATACGCCAGGCATTCTTGCACATTTGATGTGTTTTACTTCATTTACTCTTCACCACAGTCTATGAGATATGTATCATCATTCCCATTTTACAGAGAATAAAACTGAGGGCCTGAAAACAATGACTATTTATAGGACAGAGCTAGGTTCTTCCTTTGCAAAGCCCAAAGATTCCTAAAGCACTTACTGATTATTAGCTACTGTTGTTATCTTTGTGTACCAGCTCCTGGTACAGTCTCTGGCACTTTCTTAGTTCTAAATAAATTTAGTTAAGTGATGCAGAATGAAGTCGGTCAGATGAAGTTAAGAGAAATAGTCAGGTCAAAACTAAGTGCTGTGGGAAATTCCCTTGAGTCAGATCATTCCCACTTTACATCTGGAAGATAACTGAGGTTCAGAGGTTTGCCCAGTCTTGCCCATTAACTTATTTAACCCTGGCAAAATAGCCTGTGAATTAGCAGCTCTATTCATCTTCATCTTACAGCTAAGGTTAAGTGCAGCACCAAATGTGCCCAGTAGGTGATGGACCTAGAATGAGAATAGTGGAGGAATTAGGGTTCACTCAAAATTTAATGAGCTCCTACTAAGTGCCAAGTACCGTAACTGGCTCAGTGAACGCCTAGCTGTGAAGAAGACAACAGGTTTCTACTTTCAGGCAGGCCAGATGCGGCTGAAAGGAGGCAGATAAGACCAAGAGCTAAGCCTCAAGATTTGACCGCTCACGGGGTAGAGGTTCTGAAAATAAAGTCAGTGAATGACATTTTTCTCTTAGAAAGACGGAGTTTCCCCGCAGTTTTCCAATCACCTATTGTCCTGGCTCCATCCTCTTTCCCCTCAATCCCCTAGTAAGCTGAGCTCTGAGCGCGCCGACACGGTAGCCCGCCAGCAGCCGCCGTTATGACACTGCCCGACGTCCGCCGGAAGTGCGCGAAGGAGTTCCGGGGAACGCGGCCTCCGCGCTTCCGGTATCTTGATCTTCCAGGGCTAAGTGCCGCTGCTCGGCGCTGGAGTCGCCGTGCCGCCGCCGGGATCATGGTGTTCTACTTCACTAGCAGCAGCGGTGAGTGGGCGCCGAGACCTCCCGGGTCCCTGCTCGACCGCCGGGCTCCGAAGCCGAAACCCCCAGGCCGCCGCTGAGCCTGGTCCTTGAGCGCCTCCTCGGCAGTGGGTGCCTCTTCCCGCGTCCTCATGGTCCCCCCACCGTGTCCGTCCCAGTCCACCCCGTGCGCCCCCTTGTCAGGGCCTGGGGGCGCGTAGAGGCACCATCTCCCTTGCTGTCTTTGCCTCCGGGAGTTGTTCTTTCCCCTTATTCAGAAATACCTGTCGCTACCTGGAATTGGACAGTTTGTGGACTTCTTCGCACCCCTATCCCAAGTCTTCCCTTCCCCACCCACCCCCGTAATCTTTAATCTTGCTGCGCCCTGGTAATTACCCGCATAGAGAAAGAAAAGAGACATCTGCCAACAACTCTGCCTTACCGGAAGTGCGCCTTAGCCTTCTAGGAAAGGGTTATAGGGCCTGGATGTTACAGAAAGCCATAAAAAGACTCTGGAATAGCGATACAGCCACTCATTGGGCAGAGTTGATGTCCCAGATCTTGAAAAGTGACATGATAATGTTTCTGATTTGTCTTTGGCAGGCAAGGAAAGGGTGTGTTTAGTTCCCAGGAAATACTGTCTTCATTTCTCTGCTTATGTTGTTCTCTTTGCCTACAATCAACCCCCCAGTTAGCTGCTTCTCCCCCTGAGACAGCCCTCGCCAGTCATTAACAGATGCCTTTCCCGCCTTGTCGCCACCCCAGGATTGCTTAGATATAACTCTTCAGGGATCCCCTTAACACCCATGTATGCCTTTGGCATTGCATTTGTTATATGATATTAAACTCTGTCTACTTGAGATAGAGTGTAAGCCCCTTGAGGGCAGGGAGAGGATCTCCTGGTTTCTCTAGTGTAGTGCCTGGCTCATAATAGTTACTCAATAAATACTTATTGAATAAATGAATGATATTTTTTGACTTCTAGCACACTCTATTCTGTTGCTACTGGCTCTGCCTACTTGTTAAAGGTGAGATTTAAGTGAAACTAGCTGCACAGTGTTTGTGTGGGTTTCAGTAGAGTGGTACTTGCTCTTTAGAGATGAGAACGTTGAAGCCCAGGGAAGTTCTAACTCACAGACCCCCTCCCCTGCTACTCCGTCATACTATCATCTCTCATTTTTCTCAGTAGTTTAGGCTTCCACGGTGTGCCATAAGCTATTCTCTGTCTCTATAGGCTTAATTTTGTCTTACCCATATTATTAAAATTACTAGAAACAGAATTCAAAGTAGCCTGAAAAATCATTATAGGTCCCTAATAGCATTTTCATCCTCCCTCTGTCCTGCCCCTCCAGATAACTGGAGTGTCTCTTCGTAGCCTCTCATGAGAGTCCCTGACAACATAGTTACCCGTACAAGTCCAGCAATGGAATGAAAACTATAGGCAGGCCATATAGGTACTAAATGTATTTTATGCTGGCTGCTTTGTTCTCCTTAAAGTGATTCTAAATTCCTTGAGTGCTAGTCATACACACGCAGGTGCCCTTAATAGAACAGAGTGCTTCAGTTGATTTGGGGATCATATTTTTCTCATTGGCTTCCATTGTAACATCAGAATTGCTTCCTGTCAGAAAAATATTTGGCCTCTAAGTCTAATAAATCTGCACTTGTGCAGCTTTTAAAATTGCAAAGTTAATGGAAAAATTATAACTTCCAGTAAGATAGTAGTAAAACTTTATATATCCTAGTACAGAAAACAACTTGAACATACAGAATCTTCAAGAAATGACTTCGTATAGATAGCCAAGCTTTTCAAGCAACTGATGGTTTACTGCAAAAAAACTTTTTAAAAAAATGGATTGAAAATCTCAATAGAAAGTTTTTGCCTTCCCTTTTAAAATTAGTATCTCTAACTAAAATCTGCTTAGTTTTATTCTTTCACACTCTCATAAGAGAATAATGAAACATTAGCCTTGCTATATTTCCAGTGTCAAATTTAAGCCCCTCTGATTTATGGACCCACAGATTACCTTCACATGGCTCATTAACTTCACTTGTACTTTTAGTACCTTTTACTAGCATCTGTCTCAAGATAGATTGTTCTCTAAATTATGAAATTATCACAGTGCCTCTAAAGTTGGCCTGGTTGCTACACCTGTATCAGGTATCTTCAAGATAACTAGCTCCCATACTAATCAACCTTAATATTTGGGTGAGAGTAACAAAAATACTAGAATAATTCAATTTACTTTTCCTTTATCCCTCTAACATGGATGGGAGCTTAATTCAGATTTCTTACTCAGCAGTCATGCTCCTTTTTAATTTTCTATTTTGACATAATTTCAGTATTTCAGAAAAGTTATAAGAATAGTAAAAGATTTCCTTTATAGCCTTCTCTCAGATTCCCCAAATTCTAACATTTTACCACATATACCTTATCTCCTTCTTTTCCCCTTTCTCTTTCTTTTTCCAGCTCCCCTCCCCACCCAACTCTCTCCCCACACTCACAGATTTTTTTTTTTCTGAACCGTTTGTTAGTAAGTTGCACTTTACCCCTAAATATTTCAGGGTGTTTTTCCTAAAATCAGGGATATTCTCTCATCAGAAGACATTCTTCATTATCAAAATCAGGAAATTAACATTGCAGCAATACTAGTATGTAATCAGCAGCTTTTATTCAGTTTTTATCAATGTCCTAGTGGTGAATTTATAACAAAGGAAAATTACAAATCATTGTTGCTTTCCGCTGTCATTCATTACTCTTTAGCATCTTCTGATCTGGAGCATTGCTCAGTCTTTGTCTCTCACACTGACACTGTCAGTTGAAGAATTACTTTGTAGAATGCCCCTCAGTTTGGGCTTGTAGCAGTTATGTTCTTAATCACCTCATTTTATAGGTCAACCATCCAAAGAACCATCTGTCATTCTCCTGGCTGTAATTTAGATAGCTTGTCCTGCAGAGACAGCTTTGTTTATTTCGATCATTTTAAAAAATTACGTTTGTTCTGATTACAAAAACCATCTATACATTTTATAAGCAAGTAGACAAGGTAACTGTTGTTAACAATTAAATATATATCCTTGCACAGTATAAAGAAAACGGGTACGTGTATTAAAAATATATATGTAAACATGTTTATGTATACACAGTTACTTACTATATATAGATACACAAAAATACTGTTCTGCTGTTTAATTTCTTCACCTATCCTTTCTTTTTAATGGGTACATGGTGTTTTGTTTATGGATATTCTATAGTGTGTATAACCAGTCTTAACTAATGAGTGTTTAAGTTGTAAAAAGAACATCACTGCTTGACGGAGTATTAGTAGGATATATACTCCTAGTGGTGACATTTATAGGCTCAAAAGGGTGTACCCATGTAACAATGTACAGAGAGGATCTGAAACACTTTTTAGTTGTACTCCTGCACTTGGCATTTGTTATATGCTATGCAAAGGGCTTATCAAGCTAATATAATGCTCTGTTATAGACAAGTATTTCTGTCAGCTGTCAGTGCAAAATTCTCTTCTTTCAAGTTATTTTTCTCAACTATTTCCAAGTAATTATGGACTGTAGTCACCATAACTGCTAACTGAAGGAATTGGGAGTTTTCTGTCCCCAAGAGAGGCAGCTATGATTGATCATTTAAGAAGCTTCTCATTCTGAATGTTCAGGCAATCCTGAATTTAAGAATCTGTAAATGGAAGAGTGCTGCTTCCCAGCCTTCAGAGCTCCACTCACACGGTAGTTCTCTGGAGCGACAGCCAGCAGACTGCCTGGCCCAAGCTTGTACCTGTCTGTCAGGCTTTGTAGGCAGAGGCTCAGTGGCTATTAATTCAGGAGTCTAGGTCCAAACGGGGTCTAACAGGTTTTGGTAGACTAGCTCGGAAAACCAGGACCCAGTTAGAATTTCAATTACAAAACCTAACTGATTCCAGATGGAGGATGCCCACATCAAAACACACTAGCTCAGGAAAGCAAATGTCATTTCTAAGGTAAACCATACCCAGAATATTGTTTTTGATTTAGGGTAGTGGTTCCTAATGCTGACTCCACCTTAGAATCGCTGTAAAAAGAGATGTTTTGCAAAACCCCAATCCCCAGAGATTTGGATTTGGTTGGTCTTAGGTGGAGCTGGGGCAAAATTAGGTGATTCTAACGTGTAAACAGGGTTCAGAGCCACTGATTAGAAGAAGCTTGAGAGCCAATGTTTCCCCTGAATGTGAGGGAGCTTATTATAATTTGCAGCACACCTTGGACATAACTAAATCAAATTATGAAAAATAAAACTTGCGTAAGTATAGGAACCTATTTTTAAATGGTTGAGGTGAAGAGTGTTGGTCGTCGTTTTTTTAAAACTATTTTGAAGAAGGCAAAAGTATAGGACTGAACTGGAATTGCATTGAACTAAATCCCTGAGAAAGTAGGAAAGTAGCCATTTTTAATGAGGGTTGGTAAACCTTCCCCAGATGGTCAGTATTTTAGAGTTTGTAAGCCACATACGGTCTCTCTAGCTTATTCTTCTTCATTTTGCATTTTTAAACCCTTTAAAAATGTAAAAATCATTCTTAGCTCAAGGGCTGTCCAAAAACAGGGCTGGATTTGGCCTACAGGCCATGAATGTTTTGCCGACCCCTAATAAGCATTCGTCACTTGTTTTTCCCATCAAACAGTTGTGTCGGTGTTGAAGTTATCTAACTATTGTTATTTTTGTTTTGTCTTAGTTAACTCATCTGCTTACACTATTTACATGGGAAAGGATAAATATGAAAGTAAGTTTTCAAAAGCATTTGATTTTGAAATTTCCAGCAGGTAAGTGTTAATTGCCTTTTCTCCCAATGGCTTGTTGGATATGAGTTTTCAGTTAACTACTATCTAACTTGTTATAAGGAATTCCAAAGGATTAACTTTCTTAGAATTTCATTATATCAGATAATAGTTGAGCTAATTGGACCACCTGTGGCTGATTAGAATCTTACTTTACAAAGAGTTTTGTGGTATCGTTTGATTTAGGGTGACGGGAATTAGAGGTTAACTTGTGCTGGTTTTCATCAAATAAAAATAATCTGTGGCTTGGACTTTGAAAAGATCATTTTCTTTACATTTTTACCTCATTTAAGAAACATATCTTGGTTGTTTTGAGGCAGAAGATGGTTCTTTTTGACTTGAAATGTTAACAGTGCTTTCTTGACCACTCAGAATAAAACACGTTATCTCATACTGTGCACATTCCTATGACTAAATGATACAAACATTCACCTAACTAAAAAAAAACTTACAAAAAAATACCCATACTGTTTTCTGTGCCCTCTATTTTCTGTTTTATCTCATTTTTAAAAAATTAGTCTTAACCTGCGAAATTAATTTTCTGACTCACTAATGCATTTGATCTAAAGTTTACAAGAAAAACACTGATTTAGGGATCGCCTTTTTGACTGCATGAGTGGCGGGGGGTGCCGAAAGGGAACTGTAGTTTTCTTGATCAAGAGAGCAGGGAGGAGGGCTTCCCTGGTGGTGCAGTGGTTAAGAATCAGCCAGCCAGTGCAGGGAACACGGGTTCGAGCCCTGGTCCAGGAAGATCCCACATCCCACATGCCGCAGAGCAACTAAGCCATGTGCCACAACTGCTGAGCCTGCGCTCTAGAGCCCACGAGACACAACTACTGAGCTTGCACGCCTAGAGCCCTTGCTCGGCAACAAGAGAAGCCACCACAGTGAGAAGCCCGTGCACCACAATGAAGAGTAGCCCCCGCTCTCTGCAACTAGAGAAAGCCTGCGTACAGCAATGAAGACACGACACAGCCAAAAATAAAAATAAATAAATTTATTTAAAAAAGAGAGAGCAGGGAGGTGACAGCACTGACCCTCAGGGTGTGGGACACTGAAGAGGGAGGAAAGAACTGCAACAAGGGAGCTTGGAGAAGGTGACAGAATTCCTCTTCTTCAAGCTTGAAAAGCACAGTTGCTCTTCTCTTGAGGGTAGCATCATGTCTGGAAAAGACAGCTCTGAAGTCTGGCCAGTCTGGGTTAAAATCTCCGCTCTTCAGCAAACTAGCCATAGTTACTTAACCCCTTTGAACCTCTGGGTTCTTAGATGTAAGAAGAGGATCCTGGGACGGTATCGGCCTTGCAGGGCTGTGAAGGTTAAATGAAAGAGCCTGGGGAGAGTGCCTGGCCCACGGTGGGCGCTCAGTAACTGGTGGTTCTCTCTGGAGCTCTGGAGCTCCCCAAAGCCACCTCCTTTCTCCCCTGGGAATACTCCAGGCCTGGGTGACTCTGCCTCAGTAGTCTGAGAGCTGCCTGATTCACTTCAGTTACTTTTCTTTAACCCTCAGGTATTGCTTTTTTTTTTTCCTTTTCTAAAACCATTGGTGTCTGTTCTAGGTGCAGTTTGTAACTGACAGTTTAAACTTGATCCTTTAAAAGAGACAAGTATAACATTCTTCAGTATGAGACACTTGATTAATAAAATAAGGCCCCAAATGAAAAGATGTCAAAGAACAGTGATAAGTTATATATAACTTAGATATAACTGTGCATATAGTTTTATAAAAACATATAGTTGTATGTATAGTTACACATGCTAAGTATATGTAGTTGGTGTATATACACATACATCACATAAAATATATATAATGTTATAAATACAATAATGTGATATAGTTATATAACTATATAATTATAAATCAGATCTATGTAACAGTTTCAAACCCTGCTATAACCATAAGCAGAATCAGTATAAGCAAGACTGTCACATCCTAGCCAAGAGAAAAAACCAATAGCATAAAATAACTAATTTTTAAACGGTTTTTTCCTTATAATGAATTTATGCCATTGACTCTGGTTGTGACTTAATGGAGAAGCTGTCTGCAGTATATTAATACTTGAGTTTTATATTTCTCCTAGTAACCCGTGAATTGTCATGGATAAGTTTTCTCATAGCGTCCTCCTGATGAACATAGCTGGGGAGGGGATACTGTCTCCCTATATTACATTGAACAATAAGGCACAGTTATAGGAGTCCTAGTTATCTACAGTAGATAGGGATCCAAACCTGACCAAGTCTGCTTTCCCTTCTACCACACGAAGGGTGTGAATCCAAGACTCAGGTTCCTGAGAGACACCTAAAGCCGAGGTCGTGCGGGTTTTGCACTGTGCAGCCCTGGCGGGGCGGGGACAGCTTTATGTATGTCTTACAGCGAAAGGCTGCTTTGATTCCGGTGCTCACTGATGGGCTACCAGTGCTGCTGACACAGGCAGCTGTGTTGGGGACATTCCCACCGTGTCTCTTTTCCCTTCCATTGTAGTTTCCTATTCGCTGGGGCTGATCTGTGTGAGGCCATGTGCCAGCCTCTGAGTATCCAAAGAGGAAGATTGAGTCTGTGTTTTCAGTGTTCATTCAGGTGGAGGCACATACAAAACCAAATAGCAGTCAGTTTTGCTGTGAATATAAAACTGCTCTAAAAAATAAAGTCTATTAAACAAAAGTAGGGGCAAAATGAAGTAATATTAATAGCAAACACTGTAGAAGTAGAGGGGGCAGAGGGTAAATGTGGTTAGGGAGAGCTGAGAAGGCTTCGTGGAAGAGTGGGTTAGGATGGGCTAGAATGAATCCTTTAAACCTCCGTTGTAGGAATTTCT